GGAGCGGCTCCCTCAGCGGAGGCCCCAAAGGTACCATCATGTCCCCCCGCCCGCGTATCCCCGAGGGCCACTGCCCCATGGCTGGCTAACAACCCCTGAATCCAACCCGGGGCGTGGCTCCACGTGAGGGCTGAATCCCGGGGCTCCTTCCCCTCCCCTAACGCTCTCCCCCCACATTTCTCCCCCCCATCCTCCAGGGTCCCCCCCCCAGATCCAGGGGGTGAATCGGACGAGTGACTCCCCACGGATTGTAACAGGTGGGTGCCTCTGCTTGGGGAGTGGGGGGAGATCGCCCCAGTAGCTAGGCCCCTCTCTGCCCCATGGATGGCCCCCTGCCCCACACCACTAGGCCAGGGAGTGCCACAAAGCCATGGAGAGGGGCACTGAATTCATTTTGAGGGGTATGTCGGCCCCCAAACAGGGCGAGGTTTAGGGGTGCGTAGATCTCCAGCTCATGGAGAGTTTTGGGTTGGGCCCTGGCGGGGTCTGATTGGATTGGGGGCAACTGAGGATTCGGTGTGAAGCCCATTTGGGAATGATGGTCAAGGGGAACTGGGGGGTCAGAGGGTTAGATGAGGGGCTGGGAGTCAGGACTCCTGGGTTCCATGGTGGGGGTTGGGGTGGAATGGGTCCCAGCGGGGAGCAAGGGGGGTGTCTCAGACGCCCCCCAAAACTAACCCCCCGACTCCCTTTTCACCCCCCAGATCCATACCAGGTCCTGGGACCCACCAGCAGCCGCTTGGCAAACCCAGGTGGGTCTGGGCACCTATTACAGCTTGGGATGGGGTGAGGTTCTAGGTAATGGCTAGAGACGTGGAGGGCTGGGAGCCAGGACTCCTACGTTCTGTCCCTGGCTCTGGCAGTGGAGTGGGAGCTAGGGGGTTAGAGCAGCAGGGGGCTGGGGTTGGGAGAGGGGCGGGAGTTAGGACTCCTACGTTCTGTCCCTGGCTCTGGGAGGGGAGTGGGATCTAGGGGGTTAGAGACCCTACAATAACAAACCAGGAAAGAACCTCATATAACAAGCCAGTGCACACAGTAGGGCCTACAGTAACAAACCATTGCCCAGGGTTTGACCCCTTACAAGAACAAACCAGGGCCCTCCTTCTTGGGGCAAAGCAGAGCTCCGCCATTAACAAACCAGTGCACCCAGCAGACCCTACCATAACCAGCCAGAAAAGACCCTACAATAACAAACCAGGGTGCAAAGCAGAGCCCCGTCGGTAACAAATCCGTCTCCCCGCCCGGCAGGCAGTGGCCAGATCCAGCTGTGGCAGTTCCTGCTGGAGCTGCTGTCGGACAGCAGCAACGCCGGGTGCATCACGTGGGAGGGCACCAACGGGGAGTTCAAGATGACGGACCCGGACGAGGTGGCGCGGCGCTGGGGCGAGCGCAAGAGCAAGCCCAACATGAACTACGACAAGCTGAGCCGGGCCCTGCGCTACTACTACGACAAGAGCATCATGACCAAGGTGCACGGTAAACGTTACGCCTACAAGTTCGACTTCCAGGGCATCAGCCAGGCCCAGCAGAACCACCCGGGCGAGGGGCCCCTCTACAAGTACCACCCGGCCGACATGTCCTACCTGCCCTCCTACCACCAACAGAAGGTGGGCTTCGGCCTCAGCCACGCCGCCCAGCTGCCCGTCTCCTCCGCCGGCTTCTTCGGAGCCCCCTCACCCTACTGGAACGCCGGGTCGGGGAACCTCTACCAGAGCTCGCCCGTGCCCCGGCCCACCGCCGGCCACCTGAACTCCTTTTACTAGCCACGGGGGGCGCCCAGCCTGCCGCCGGCCACCTGAACTCCTTCTACTAGCCACGGGGGGCGCCTGGCCTGCCGGCAGCCACCTGAACTCCTTCTACTAGCCACGGGGGGCGCTTGGCCCGCTGCTGGCCACCTGAACTCCTTCTACTAGCCACGGGGGGCGCCCAGCCTGCCGCCGGCCACCTGAACTCCTTCTACTAGCCACGGGGGGCGCCTGGCCTGCCGGCGGCCACCTGAACTCCTTCTACTAGCCACGGGGGGCGCTTGGCCCGCTGCTGGCCACCTGAACTCCTTCTGCTAGCCACAGGGGTGCTCCAGCCTGCCAGCGGCCACCTGAACTCCGTCTACTAGCTACGGGGAGGAAGGGGGTGCCATGGCACATGGGGGCTCCCTAAATGCCTACTAGCCACGGGTGGAGTCCCCCCAAACATGGATAGCCTCGGGGGATCCTTCTGCTGCCTGTCCCCAGCCCTGTTGCTGCCTCCCGCCCAACCAGTGCCTGGAAAGACCTCCCCCTTCCCTTCCCTCCCCTGCCCCGATAGTGGGGTGCCTCCCTGACACCTGAGGGTTTTGGGGGGCCAGGGGCTCCCCACTGTGGCTGGACTCCTTGTGCTCTGGACTGGGCAGGGCCCTGGGGGACAGCCCGTAGGGTGCAGGGTTTTTTAAATGAGGGATTATCCTGCAGTTGTCCCTCCCAGCAGGCAGAACACCCCCCACCCCCAGTTCTGCCTTGAGCAGATGCCTCCCCTCCCAGCGTGGCTCCCACAACAGGTGCTCGATAAACACTGTGGGACGCCTGTTGGGGGGCAGGGCTGGCTGGCTTGAGAACACCGTTTGGGTGAAGCGGCTGGCCGTCGAGCGTGGACATCTGTCAGGAGTGGAGGCTGGTTGTTATCTTTGGTCACAGCAGGGGGAGCCCGTTGAGTGTGGATGCCTGTTGTAACTGGCGCCAACTGTTACCTCTAGACACTAGGGGGCGCCTGTTGTGTGGGGGGTGCCTATGGAGGGGTGGAAACCGGCTATTGCCTCTGGATATGCAGGGCTGGATCAGGAATCCCAACCAGGTGCCTGCCCCATTCATCCCCTCATCCCAACCTCCCTGTAGGCAGGACCCATGGGTCTCATGGTAGCAGCCCCCCACCCTGGGGGAACGGTGTGCGGATACGCTGTAGCGCCGCTGCTCTGCGGGGGATTGTATCCGTGACACCCCAGCTCCATGGGGCTGACAGCGACTGTAATATGCCTCCTCCCTCACCCCATGTATTAAAGGTTGTGTTGTTACGGGTGACACTGTTTGTGCCTGCAGGGTGATTCGGGGACGGGGCTGGTAGGGGGGGTGAGGCCCTAGCATGTTGGGGAGATTGGCTGGGGAGGCCTAATAGGGGGTGGGGAAAGGGACTAGCAGTGGGGAGGGGGCTGGGGAGGCCTAGCAAAGGGTAGGGAGGGGGGCTGGCAGTGGAGGGGGGCAGACTAGCAGGGGCTCGCTCTACTGCACACATAAGCTCCAGGAGAATCTCCCTCAGCTGCCGCAGCCTCAGGGCTTGGAGCCCCTCCGGGTTGACTCTCGCCAGCAGGGGGCGCTGGCTGCTCCCAGGGGAAGAGGTTATGACTGGAAAAAGGGGGGGAGCTAAGTAGGGGCACAGACCTCCACTCCCCCCTACCCCTTCCCCCAAAGAATACAGCTGCCCCTGCGCTGTCCGACCAATCCTGCCCCCCCATGTGTGGGGGGAGGGGGTATCAGCGCTCATAGCTTCCTGCCACCCATCCTCCCAGACCAGGGCCTCTGTGCCTGCTGAGGCTGGACAGGGAGCATGTGCAGGCGGGGTGCCTGGCTGAATGGGGGCTGAGGCCAGGCCAGGACACCTGGGTTCTATCCCCAGCGCTGGGAGGGGAGTGGGGTCGAGTTGTTAGAGCAAGGGAGGGGGGCTGAGATTGGCTCCAGGGAAGAACACAGACAAGCTCCCATGTACATCCGCCAGCAGGTGGCGCTACAGCCTGCCACCACAGCTACTGCCCCCTGGTGGAGACACTGCAGAGGGGTTACACCGGGGATAGGCAAACCTTTTGGCCTGAGAGCCACATCTGGGTACAGAAATTGTATGGCAGGCCATGAATGCTCATGAAATTGGGGGTTGGGGTGCAGAGGGGGTGTGGGCGCTGGGGTGGGGCCAGAAAAGAGTTCAGGGTGTAGGAGAGGGCTCTGGGCTGGAGGTTGAGATTGGGGGGGGGAATGATGAGGGATTTGGGCTGGGGGATCAGCTTCCAGGATGGGGCCAGAAATGAGGGGTTCAGGGTGCAGGAGGGGGCTCCAGGCTAGGGCTGAGGGGTTGGGAGTGCGGGAAGAACAGAGGGGTTCAGGCTGAGGCAGGGGGTTGGGAGTGTGGGAAGAACAGAGGGGTTCGGGCTGAGGCAGGGGGTTGGGAGTGTGGGAGGGGGTACAGGCTGGGGGTGGAGCAGAGGGGTTGGGAGGGGGCGCTGGCCAGGGGGCTTTGCACACTGCCCCGTCCATTGGCTGCGGTTCCCAGCCAATAGGAATGGCTGAGCCAGTGCGGAACTCCCTGGCTGCCCCTACGCGTAGGAGCCAGAGGGGGGACATGCCGCTGGCTCCCGGGAGCTGCGTGGAGCGGGACAAGCCGCCAACTCTGGTCCGCGATGGAAGCTCGAGGTCCGGATTAAAGGGTCTGAGAGGCCAGACACGGCCCGCAGGCTGTAGTTTGCCCACCCCTGGATTACACATACCTGGGCTGCCTTACCAGGTGAGAGCCTGAGATCCAGCGCTCAGCCAGCCCTCCATTGGTGGGTCAGGATTGAGGGGCACTGGCTGGACTTTGGGGGGTAGTCCAGAGCTGGCCCAGCAGGGAGCTACTGGGCCAGGATTGAGGGGCACTGGCAGAGCTGGGTTAGCAGGGGCTGCGGGTACGGCTTAGGGGGCACTGGCAGAGCTTGGGGCGGGGAGAGCCCAGAGCTGGGCTAGCAGGGGGCTGCAGTGTGGGATTGATGGGCATGGACCAGAATTATTCAGATCTGTGGGGGAACAGCTTGGTGCCCGCAGTGCTGGCAGTAACTCCCTCTCCTTCTGCCCCCCAGCCAGAGCGCCACCCCTGCCCTGGGTTGGAGGGAAAAGAATGAGGCTCTAGCCCCACCCCCAGCCCTGAGCTCCACCCCTCCAGCAGGAGGCGGTACAGGCCTGGGGAGCACGCCCCAGGGAGAAACAGCGAGGAAACCCCAGCCCTTAGGCTTGTAAGTACAAAAGAAAAATGAACATTTATTAGGGTAGAGCCCCCAGCCCTGTGGAGAGCGTTACACACATGCCTGCCCCCCATGGGCACCGCTACCCCCGGCAGCACCTGAGGGGGCACTGGAGAGTCCATGGAGGAAGCTGCCCTGGGCCAGGAGCTATCATACAAGACAGACAGAAAGGGGGCGCGGTGGCTGGCCACCCAGCACCATAGCCCCAGGGCAGGCGGGGACCTAGTCTGCCTGGTGTCGGCTGGGGCCCCTGGGCTGGGGGGCCTGGGCTGGCAGGGGGCAAGGCCCCCCCCGGCTATCTCAGTCCAAGTTTCTTCTTCTCTTTCTGCTTCTTGCGCACCACATCGATGTTGCGATCCTTCCACATGCTCTTGCGCAGCTTGATGGGGCGGCTGCCCACGTATTTACCTGCCGGGGGGCACAGATGGGGGCAGGGGGTCAGTAGATGGGGGACAGCAGGTGCTCCCAGAACGGGGGGGAGGGGACACATCTGGCTGCACCTTGCTCTGCAGAGGGGCTCTTCACACACCCTCAGATCCCTCCCCTTGCCAGGCTGGGTGCTGCCCCCAGGTCAATCCCCAGGGCTCTATGTGGGGCTGAGCTGTCCCATAGCTTGCATCGCCCGCCAGGCCCTGCCCCCCCAAGCCGCCTTCGGGCCACCTCAGCCCACTCCCTCCCCTCCCCCCAAGATGCAAACTGGGGGCGGCAGCAGGGTCAAAGGGCAGCCAAGCCCATTGGAGCACGACAGGGTAACCTGCCCCCCGCCCGTTAGTGGCGCGACGGCCTAACCCCTCCCCCGCCTCCCCTCACCGTTCATCTCCCGCATGGCGCGGACGTAGTCGTTGGGGTCCTTGAAGCTGACGAACCCGTAGCCCTTGGTCTTGCCGGTGCGCTTGTCCCGGATCACCTTGGCCTTGAGGAAGGACGGGTAGCGGCTGAAGGCCCGGGCCAGGATGTCGTCGTTCACCTCGTTGCCCAGGTCCCCGCAGAAGATCCGGAAGTCATCTGGGATGGGAGGGGTGGGGGGGCGGGTGAGAGTGGGGCAGGGCCATAGGAACCGCCTGACCCCTGCCTGTGATCATGGCAATCCTCTGCCACAGAGCTCAGCATCTGCTGCATGGAATGAGCCTGCCAAGTCAACCCCCAGCAATATCCAGTGGCAGGGAGTCCCAGAGGTCAACCCTCAACGTCATCCCCCTGCAGCAGGGAGTCCCACAAATTAACTCCAATAATATCCTGGGATTCGCCTGCACCCCGCTCCGGTTCAATCCCTCCCCTCCCTATCCCAGCCACCTGGGATTCCCTCCCCCTCCAGCTGATCAGGACCCTGCCCCCCACTCACCTGAGTCCCACTCCAGCAGGCTGGAGTCCTCCCAGCAGCTCCCGGCCGCCGTGCGGATGCAGCGCTTTAGCTTTTCCTGCCTCGTTTTCTTCTTGTCCTCGACCACAGGCTCCACCACGGGCTGGGGAGGCCAATGGTCAGCACCATCCGTCAGGGCAGAACCTGGAGCAGCCGTCCCCGTGCTCTCCATTCCCTCCAGACCCCCTATAGGAGCAGCCCCCCACCTTGGCACAGGACCCTCCTTACCCATTGGCACCTCTGGCGTCCCTGGAGAGACCCCACCCCCAGCCCTCCCATGGTTCTCCCCACTCCAGCCCAGACTCCCCCCCCTTGGTGTCCCCCCACAACTACCCCATGACATCCCCTACCCCAGCCCTCCTGTTGTCCCTCCACTCCTGCATATACCCCTCCCCCGATCCCCTCCGGCCAGAGAAAGACGTCCCCTTACCTCCATTGGTGGAAATCCAGGTTCGGGGCCCCGGGGCCTCCGCCCCCGTATGGGCCCCAGTTCAGGCCCACGCAGCGCAGGCAGCACCCTGGCCTCTGGCATCACAGGCTCCACCTCGGGCATGCTGGGGCCGATCACAGCCTCCTCCAGCCCCCCTGGCTCCTTCTCCTCCACCACGACTGGTGGGGGCTGCTCCCGCAGCTCCTCCTGCAGGTACAGGGAGACTAGCACCAGGGGCCATGCGACTGCAGAGGGATTAGCCTGGGGAACTCCCCACCTCATTAATCCAGCCCAAGGGGAGGGGCTGTGTGTTAGCCCATGAGACTCCCTGCCCCATGAATCCCAAGGGAGGTCAGCCTGAAGCCCTGAGTTAACTGAATATCCAGGCAGGACAGGGTACTATAAAGGAATTAACCAACAGGACACCAGAGCTAGCCCATAGGACTTCCTGCCACTGGGGCAGTTAATGGGGTTAACACAAAATCACTGGTGTTAACCTGCGGAACTCCCTGCCACTGGGACATGTACTGGGAGTTCTCCGTGTCCCCCACACTAATCCTCCAAACATCGATGCAGTGGGTGAAATCCGAAGGGTACTATAAGGATGGAATCCTGGGGGACATTAAAGTCCATTCCGCAAGACCCCTCCACCCCTACTGCAGCGGTGGGGCAGGCGCCAGCCACACCCAACTCCCCGCATTCCCTCCCAACCTGGCCAGCATCAGAGCCCTTCCAGGACGTCTCCCAGCCACAGGGACATTGCGGCAAGCAGCTTGGTATGTTTTAAAGGGGCATTCGACATTTAACACCCCATACAAGACTGCCAAGGATCAGAGCTCTTGACCCTCATGTTTCAGGGCAGGAGCAGAGCCACAAACTGGGGGAAGGAAGGAAGCCCCCCCGGGGTGGGATGGCCCAGCGAGGTGTGTTTGGGGTGGGGTGGGGGTGGGGATTTAATGCCTTCCTTTCAAGCACCAATGGAGGTTGAGTGGCAGAGAGCTCTGCCCCTGCCCCCCCCACATACCTCCTGCTTTTTCACCGGCGGTGCGGAGTACACCGTGGGGGCTGCCTGGATCACCATGGGGTTTATCTTCGGAGCTGCCACGACGGGGGGGCGGGGAACCGACATCAGAGGAGTGATCGGGCCGATGGGGACCCCGGGTCCCACCTAGACAGCAGCAACAGCGGGGCCATTAAAGGGGCTAATGCAGACAATGGCTTCCCGGCCGGTCTCTGTCCAGCCCCCCCCCCCCCACCCTGAAGCTGGCGACACCCCCAGTGCTGAAATGCAGCTGCCTCTGGGGGACATAGCAGCTGGTGAGCAGCCACATAACAAATGCAGAGTGTCCTGTAACAGGGTCAGCCAGCACCGACTGTGAGGGGAGAGTGCCCCCTCTACTGAGCCCTCCACCATGCGCTCCCTGCAGCACAGCGCCCCCTAGTGCCACACTGGGGCCAGCCTTGACTGCCAGGGGAGAGCACCTCCACCCCGCTACCTATAGCACAGTGCCCCCTAGTGGCATACTGGGGCCAGCCCTGAGTGCCTGGGAGGAGTGCCCCCACCTGGCTCCCTGCAGCACAGTGCCCCCTAGTGCCATGCTGGGACCAGCACCGACTGCAAAAGGAGAGCCCCCCGCCACACACACAGCTTCCTGCAGCATCTATCGTTCCCGTTTGCCTCTCCTCCAAGTGCTGACCAGCCTCAACCCAACTTCGCTCCAGATCTGATCCCACAGTACAGCCACAGACACCCTCCACCCTGGCAGGTGAGAGCCAACCGCCATTCCCCATTGGCTCCTGTCCCTCCCTCACACCCCATTGCTGAAGGAAACGCACTCACCGGTGGGCCAGTTCTCATCGGCCCTATGGGCCCCATGAGCGGGCCAGGAGGCCTCTGCATGGGGGGCCCCATCATCATCTGTGGGCCCTGGGGACCGGGCATGGGGGGCCCCACCATGGCTGGGTGGTGAGGCGGACGCATCGCCAGGGGCCTGGGAGCACCAGCTAAGAGAAAGACAGATAAACAGGTTTTCCATTTCTATGACACTAGGATTTCCCCCATGGCTTCGATTCTGGGACTAGCCCTTGATTCAAGGACGGAGGGAAGTCCAGGAAGTGAAACTTACCTAACAGGAAGTGAAACCGACCACCCCACCCCCAGACTTTAGGAAGTGCAAAGAAAGGAGCAAGCAAACAGCAAAAGTCACCAAGAAAACAGGCTTCCCCCTCCTGCTCGGGTTTTAGCATTTCCCCTGAGCGGGGGAGAATCCAGGAAGTGAAACTGGTCTCCCCTGTCCCTTGGCAAAGAATAGAGCAAACAAACTGCCAACCTCAGGATTTATAGAACCTTACTTATCAGGAAAACTCGGGAGGGAATTTTTATTGAAATACGATTTCAGACTCGGTGTCTCCTGATTGAAAGGGAGAGCACCGGGAGGATACAGGCATGTCAGACTAGGGTAAAGACGGGGCTGGCGGGGGGAAGCTTACCAGATCTCTGCAGGACATGAGGCACAAAGGCTGGTCGAAGGATCGGAGGCCTCTGTGGAGGGACAACTGCAGAGGGCGAGAAGGACAATTTTATGTTAAGGCGCCAGGCTGGGTCTTGCAAGTGCTGGGTTCAATTCCCAGCACTGCCGCACACGCCCTGCGTGACAAGTTACTTTGACTCTCGGTGTCTCAGTTTCCTCACCTGAAAAACCAGAATGGTCCTTCCTTTACCTTATCTAATTATATCAAGAGCTTTTCGGGGCAGGGACTGTCTCTCACTGTGTCTGGGCAGTGCCTGGCATGACAGGACCCTGATCTCAGCTGAGGCAGGGACTGTTTCTCGCTGTGTTTGGACAGCGCCCGGCACAACGGGGCCCTGATCTCAGCTGGGGCAGGGTCTGTCTCTGGCTGTGTGTCTGGGCAGTGCCTGGCACAATAGGACCCCGATCTCAGCTGGGGCAGGGACTGTCTCTCGCTGTGGCACAACTCAGCGCCCAGCACAACTCAGCTGGGGGTGCTACTGTATTACAAACAGACCAAGTGTTCTAGCTCTGGGACTGATTAGGGGAAAATCCCTTCTGGATGCCAGGCTGTAGGGCAGCAATGCACACGAATCACGTTACGCTGAGGAAATTGCATCCTGGCTGATTAGACAGCTGCCTTTGGAGGAGGGGCCTTGTTAATATCCACCCACACCCATCCCGATTCTGTACAGCGATCACACGAGTTACATCAGGCAGCTGGGGTGAAGGAAGATGGGAGCCGGAGTCCTCTCCCCCAAGTATGACCGGAGAGCAGGTATCCACACACGTTTCAACAACATGAGGCAAACTGAGTCACAGCCGACTCCTGGCTCAACTGGATTCATTCTCACCCCGTCTTGTGATATCAGCACAGACAACAGAAATACGACAGAACAAATAAGACATCTTCTCTACACCTTTGCAGCTGAAGGATCCCGAAGCCCTTTAGTGGCTGCATATACAGTAATCATTCACTCAGTGATGAGATGCAGCTGCCTCTAGGGTGGGGCACAGCAGTTTATACAGGCAGCTGCATCTCACCACTGAGTGAATGATTACTGTATATGCAGCCACTAAAGGGCTTTGGGATCCTATATAGTGCAGGGCTAAGATGCAGCTGCCTCTGGGGTGGTGTACAGCATTTATAAAGCATGTTAGGTTTCTCTAGAGTTAGGAAGAAACTTTGCCTGAGAGATTATTCCATAACTGTCCACTAGGGGGTGCACCTTGCACCAGCCTCTAAAGCAACTGGTGTAGGCGACTTGTCAAGAGACCGGGTAGACGGGATACCTCACTAGAAGGACCTGTTGGTTTGATCTAGACAGCAGGGAGGATGCCACATTAGAGGGGGCCACGGTTCTGATCCAGGGCGGCAGGATACCGGGTTAGATGGGCCTATTGCTATATATGATAAAGCTGCTCCCCAGAAGATGCTTGTTCAGTAGCCCCATGTATGAAATGGAGTTACTGGGTCTCCTGTCAGTTCCTAGCTATATCGATGCCTGCAAACAAACCAACCCAACACTCAGCTGGCACAAATAGCACATCGGCAGCCGTGGCAGAGGAGCCGCGGGCTGGCCGAGCCCCCCCTCCAGGTGGTGAGGTATGGGGGGGGACTCTTGTCCTGTCGCTGTACCTGCCCTGCGGATGAAGAGGGGGCTTCGGTTCTCAGGGCTGTCGATCCGGCACCTCTCGCCAGTGCTGAAGTTCACTCAAAGAGAAAGAACAGACACATTGCCTTGGAATCTCAGACGCGCCACGTGCAGTCAGACACTAGGCCACCGAGACACGCTATGTACCTGGTCCCACGAACGGTACCGGGGGTGCCACGATGGGGGCCACGACGGTGGCTGCGGCAGCCGCCCGGGCTTCTAAGCTCTGCTGGACCTGGAGCAGAACGGAAACATGAATCAATGCAGACCTCTATAATATCCCGGGGGAGAGGCACATGGGCCAGTGCAGAAGGAATACCACCCCTCCTCACACCCCCTGCCCTGAAACATCTGTCCAGAGGCAAATGGGCCTCAGGTAACACAGCCCCCACCACCCCCAGGAAACATCTGTGCAGCTGCAGAAAGGACCAGCTAGTTAAAGGGCACAGCAGGACCAGGAAAGAGGCCGAGCAGTGGGATTTGACAGGGCAGCTGAGGCCGTGAGACCCACAAGCCTGGCACAGGAGTGGAGGGTTAATTTAGTTTTAGCTCAGTCACACCACTGGCCTCTAACACCACCACACCATCAGCACAGACAGGCAGGGGAGATGGACGACACCGCACAGAAATGAGAGCAAATGGAGAGCCAGAGACCCACTCCGGGAACAGCCCATTAGGGAACGGGGTCCCAGCTACATTCAGTCTGTGACCCCCTGCCAACCTGGGATTTAGACCACAGATGGTGAGGGGAAGGACATGGTAACTGTGGCTACTGCTTTTCATGCAGAGCAGTTTTCATAGATTCCAAGGCCAGAAGGGAGCATTAGAGCATCAAGTCTGACCTCCTGTATAACACAGGCCAGAAAATTTCAGCCAGCTCCCACTGTACTGAGCCCAATCACGTGGGTTTGACTAAAACTTCCTCCAGTAAGGCATCCAGTCTGGATTTGGAGACCTCAAGAGATGTACAATCCGCCACTGCCCTGGTGAGTTTGTTCCAATGGTTTGTTTGGGTTAAGCTAAACAGGAACAAGACACCCTTCATCTGAATTAACTTCTCAGTGTAGACAAGCCTAGAATAAGGGAGGGCAGTGGTTTTCAACCTTTTTTCATTTGTGATCCCCTAAAAATGTTGGAGGCACAGACCCCTTTGGAAATTTTAGACAGTCTGTAGACCCCCCCCCAGGGTCTTCGGACCACAGGTTGAAAACCACTGAGGTAAGGTGTGAATTTAAAGTGCAATAGCTATTGCTGATAACTCCCTATGTGGCTGACCTTATTCCCATATGAGTGTTCCCACATGAAGATAATTAGGATCAACTATTCCTACATAGTTCCAGGCATAAACAAGGCATAACTGTAAAATCTCCAGGGGAAGGAATGTCTTTTTCACTGTGTGTTTGTACAGCACCAAGCAGAGAGCCCTGGTCTATGAGGACACTTGGCAGAATTTTTTAAAATCATTTCAGAGGCTAATATTGATGTTTTTAAGAATTTTTTCACCAGTTTCTATCCATTTAAATTTTCACAGTTGCGGGATGTTATTGGGGGAGGTCAGACACTAAATTAATGACAGCAGATGTTGAGATTCTAAGAGTTTATAACCATTAAAACACAAATTGCCAACATCACACGTCAAAATATACAACGTAAATATCCTTAAATCAAACTCGTACGTTTTGAAGCAGCATTTTGCTTACGTTGCATGTAAATTTTAATCATCATGGAAGGAAATATTTTTTCAGCATTTGCAAGTGCACAGTGAAATCGATGTTTAACAACAAAAATGGAACCCTTCCCAGCCTAAGATGACTAGGGCCCCAGGAGCTACCCCAACACAAATAAGGGAATGTCACAGTGGAGAGAGGTGCTTTGCATTTAATGATATTTCCACCATAATCTGCTCCACCACCCAAAAAGCATCCTACCCACGTACAGCTCCCTAAAAGCCAATAAGGGAGAGCAGCCGGAGACCCCTGAGGTCTATTAGGGACCTCACTATGTTGATCTATTAACCTGGGGGCAAAGGTACCTTGGTTGTGAATATTTCATCTAGTAACCGGGAGGGACGGACAACTCACTCCCTAGTGATGAGTGCCAACACTGTCCCCTAATGAGACAGGCAGATGGACACACAGCAGAGATGGCAGGGTGTTGATTGGGTGGTGGGAGGGGGGCGGGGAAGTGCAGTCACAGAGAGCCCAAGTCAGGACTGTGGCCAGCATGTGCCCAGGGCATCTCTGGTTTTAACCACTCAGGTGCCACCAAACTACATTCCCTCATTGCGTTTCTGGGCCAATGAACTGCAGCGGCACCCAGCATCACCCACACGCTGCTCATGCCCCATGGTGAGGGATAAGCCGATGCCTCACCTGCTGGTAGGTGTTAGTGGCGATGATGGGCCGGATCACTGGGACGGGGGGCACCGTGGACACAGCCGGCACTGCCAGAGCTACCGGGACAGCCTCCACCACCGGGGCCCCGGAGGGCAGGGAGACAGGGGCCCCCAGCACCTCCTGCTCAAACCTGTACAGAGCGAGGGATGACAAATGGAAGCACATTGAGGCCTCCCTGCCACCATCCAGAGTTTTCCATGCCGGGGGCAGGGCGGCAAGAGGGCCCCCCACAGGTCCCAGTTCCTCAGGTCCCCCTCCTGCCACAAGGCCCACCCCTCCTTCGATGCAGGGTCTTTCACTGCTTTGCCCTAGTCTCTGCCCACCCAAAGCCTTCTTCCACCCAGCTCCCCATTCCCTCCCGCCAAGGGCTCCCCATCACCCTCACCAGGCACCCCAAGGATTCCAGTTGCTCCCCCCTCCCTGAACCCTCAGAAAAGGTCCCATTCCTTTGCCCATCAATCTCCCTCCAGGACACCTCCCCCCCACCAAGTCTTTACTGACCTACAGCCCCTTTCTGCTCCAGATCTGCCACCCCTCTGTCCTGGGCTCTGCTCATCACAGGCCCACCACCGCCAGCCCTAATTCCTCAGCTGAACCCTCCTGCTCCCTCCCCCAGTCATCCTCCCAGATACCCCATCCGCTTCCTGCCAACCCCTTTATCCTCTTCCCACCCACCCCCCGATTCCAAACCCCCTTGCCGGGCTCTCCCGGCCTTTTGTCCCAGCCCCCCACAACCCATCCCCCAAGTCTCCTCTCCCACCTCTCCCCACCCACAGGCCTCGCCCCCTTTTACCCTGGTCTCCCCACAAACCCTCCCCCCCCATTGTAGCTCCCCCCCCAAACCTCCTCCCGCCCCCCCCACGGTCACCCCAGGGCCCTGATCCCCCCCACAAACCCGGTCCCCTCCCCCCGCGCTCACAGCGCCATCTCCGCCTCCATCTCTTTCAGTCGCTCCTCCCCACTCTTGGGCCCCCCCGCAGCCGCGGCGCCCCCCGCGGGGCCGGGTCCTGGGGCTGGGGTCCCCCCGGCGGGGGGCGGGGCGGGCGGAGCCGCCATGGCGGGGTCCGGGCTCAGCCTCCGCCGCAGCGCGCTGCGGCCCGACACACCCGCTTCCGGCGGGACGCCAATGACGTAAAGCACCTTCCGGCGCGGGACGCTAAAGGCGCCGCTGAGGGATTAGCCCCGCGCCATTTCCGGCGCGCGTTTATGACGTATCACAAGGACGCGCGGGAACGGTGGGGCGGCCGGCGCGTTCCTAGGCAGGAAGGGGGCGTGGCTTGGAGGTCCCCCCCCATGGGGCGGCTCCAGGAGGACGGAGCTCCCATTGGCCTTTGCGCGGAGCACGTGATTCCTGGTCCCTCTCAGTCTCCTACGCAGAAGTGGGGCGGGGACTTCCCCCCATTTGTCGGAGCCCAGCCCCGACCGTTCCAAGCTGCTGCCCCGCCCCTTCCTGGCCCCGCCCACGCAACGTGCCCCGCCCCTCGGCGGGTTAGTTTGCAAGACGCCAAGTAGCGTCTCCTCCAGGCTGGATAGCGATCCGCGGGTGGGCGGGGGCTCGCCCTGACTCCGCCCCAGGGGCGGGGCGAAGGGCGGGGCCTGGGGGCGGAGCCAACTTCTCCCCTCCCAGGGGCACGGCCTGGGCGAGCCCCGCGGAGCTTCCCCTGGGCGGGCGCTTGGCAGTACTGCAGAGGGCACGGGTTCGCGCCTCGGCCCCGCTCCCAGCTGCCCCCAGTGCCCAGCGGGCTCCTGCCTCTAGCCCGCCATGCCCAGCATCTGTCCCGCCCTGCACAGCTGGCTCCAGCTTTTGGGGGGGGGGGGGGTCGGTCCTTTTCCCGGTCATGGGATTTCAAAACTAGTCAATATCATGAGTTCCGCTATTTAAATCTGAAATTTCCCCGTGTTGTAATTGTAGGATCCTGACCCAAAAAGGAGTTGGGGGGTCACAAGGTTATTGGGGGGGGGCGTTGCAGTACGGCTACCCTTACTTCTAAGCAGCTGCTGGGGGTGGTGCTGCTTTCATAGCCGGGCGCCCTGCCAACAGCTGCCGCTCTCCAGCCGCCCAGCTCTGAAGTAAGGATGACAATACCGCGACCCCCCAGCAACTCCCTCTTGGGTCAGGAGCCCCAATTTGAGAAAGGCTGGTCTCCTCCCTGAAATCTGTATAGGAGAGGGTAAAAGCACACCAAAGACCAGCTTTCACGGCAGGAGACCAGATTTCATGGTCCGTGACACATTTTTCATGGACGTGAATTTGGTAGGGCCCTAAATATAATGCAGATCCGAAATTTCCGAAATAGCTTTGAAAATCTGAAATTACTCTGTATTTGTTAGTCTCTAAGGTGCCACAAGTACTCCTGTTCTTTTTTCTGTTTTTGTTGGCCCTCCCACTTGAAGGACAGAGGGGCTGACGAAAATGAAAGAGGGGCCGACGAAAGTGCTGATATAACAACCAACAAACAGTTGTGTGTGGTTCTGAGGTACCATAGTACGACACAGAAGCGAATTTTATCAATGTTTGGTGACACGATTGCTTTGCCGGGTGGAGATGAATGAATCACACGTTTGCTGACATTTCTTAAAACTACTTTGGGGCTATTTTTAACGTTGTCATTTGCTGTTTTTTGTTTGAAACATCTGCCACCCCTGGACTGGGATACAAGTACCAGTCTTAGGGAGTTGATTTTGGATTTGATTGTCATCTCGTAGCTTTGTTGTTAATCTGATGAACTCCTGCTGTGGCTTGTAGCTTTTTTTTTTTTTTAATCAAATCTGTACTAGGTATCTAAGGGAAGCTTTCATTTGTTGTTTGATGTATAGACCAATGTGTTAATAAGAAAAGTTTGTTTCAATAAATAGATTGGGCTACTTTGGGGCTGTTTTTTTGGGCTATTAATGCAGTAGAAATGCAGTGTCAAACCAACCTAATACCTATCTTTGACAGGATAACAAGCCTTGTGGCTAGGGGCATATATTGTGGTATATATTGACTTTAGTAAGGCTTTTGATACGGTCTCACATGACCAACTCACAAACAAACGAGGGCTGTGTCTACACTGGCAATTGAACGACAAAACTTTTGTCTTTCAGAGGTGTTAAACCCTCCACCCCCGAAAGACAAAAGTTTTGCCGGGGACAAGCACCAGTGTGAACAGTGCTTTGTTGGCAGGAGCGCTCTCCTGCCGACAACGCAAACGCCGCTTGTTGGGGGTGCAAGTTTTTTGTTGTCAGGACAGCTGACAAACAGCTGCTACACTGCATGACTTTTAACGGCACGGCTGTAGCGACACAGTCATGTCGCTGAAAGATGTATAGCCTGGGGAAATACAACCTAGATGGAACTGCTATAAGGTGGGTGTATAACTGGGTGGAAAGCCATTCTCAGAGAGCAGTTATTAGTGGCTAAGAGTCATGCTGGAAGGACATAAAGAGTGGGATCCCACAGGAATCAGTTCTGGGTCCAGTTCTGTTCAATATCTTCATCAATGATTTAGATCATGGCATAGAGAGGACTGTACACTTACAACGTTTGCGGACGATACCAAGATGGGAGGGGTTGCAAGAGCTTTGGAGGACAGGATTAAAATTAAAAATGGTCTGAAGTAAATAGGATGAAATTAAATAAGGACAAATGCAAAGTACTCCACTTAGGAAGGAACAATCTACTGCACACATACAAAATGGGAAATGATTGCCTAGGAATGAGTATGGTGGAAAGGGATCTGGGGGTCATAATGGATCACAAGCTAAATATGAGTTAACAGTGTAACACTGTTACAAAAAAAATAAAACCTGAACATAATTCTGGGATGTATTAGCAGGAGTATTGTAAGCAAGACCCAAGAAGTAATTCTTCCGCTCTACTCTGCGCTGATACAGCCTCAACTGGGGTATTATGTTCAGTTCTGGATGCCACAGAATGTTGGGAATCATCAAGAAAGGGATAGATAATAAGACAGAAAATATCATATTGCCTCTATATAAATCCATGGTACGCCCACATCTTGTATACTGCATGCAGATGTGGTCGCCCCATCTCGAAAAAGATATATTGGGATTGGAAAAGGTTCAGAAAAGGGCAAAAAAAACATGATTAGGCATATGGAATGGCTTCCATATGAGGAGAGATTAAAAAGACTGGGACTTTCCAGCTTGGAAAAGAAATGACTAAGGGGGATATGATTGAGGTCTATAAAATTATGACGGGTGTAGAGAAAGTAAATAAGGAAGTGTTATTTACTCCTTCTCATAACACAAGAACTAGGGGTCACCAAATGAAATTAATAGGCAGCAGGTTTAAAACAAACAAAAGGAAGTATTTTTTCACACAACACATAGTCAACCTGTAGAACTCTTTGTCAGAGGATGTTATGAAGGCCAAGACTATAACAGGGTTCAAAAAAGAACTAGATACATT